TTATGATAGCAAATTTCCCGGAGGCTGTCAGTGTTTATTGTAACCATGTTTTTAAGTGGTGAAGACGACTTAAGAGGGCATACCCCTATATTTTGACATTGTTCTTACACTGAGCCACTGAAACATGAATCTGGCTCATGCAGTGTGACACTAATTACCATTTTCTTGGTAGTGTGTGTGTGTGTGGTCTTTCCTCTTTTAGGAACTATAAACCTCATAGTTCCCACTTTTAAATGAATAAAGAGAGTTTTAAACAATGCCTGTGGTATCATTTCAGTAGGGTGACCATACGCTTTTACAGATGCATACGCTTTGCCTTGTAACACTGCGTGTAGGGAATAAGCATTTAAGTGACGGTGTCTTGGCTAAGCGTGTGAGCTCTGAGCCAGACTGCAAGTTCACATCCTACATCTGCCACTAGCTAGCTCTATAGCCATGGGTAAGTTTAACCTCTCTATAATGGTTTCTTTATTTGTAAAATGGGGATAATAAAAAACATCTGTCTCATTGTATGGTTGGGAGCATTAAATAGGTTAGTAGACAGAAAGTACTAGGGTCAGAGTAAGTGTTCCGTGAATGTTTGTTATTATTTAAATCTTGTATTTAGTATCCTTTGGTTAGAAGTACAGTTCTTTGCTTAGATTGCTATTTGTGTGTGGGGAGATGTTCTTTCTGGAACTGTGTCTCCTCATCACATGACTATGGGCAGTGCGAGCCTTATTAATACTCTGTCAGCATTTGAGGTTAGAACATAAGTGTGTGACTATACCCAGTGGAATCCAGCAAGAGAACTAAGCCCTGTAGCAACTGTTGCTATTTGTGTCCTGAGCAGCAGCTGTCTGAGGGAGATTTATTTTTTAATCCTGATCTCACTGATAGCCTGGGATGTGGCCCAGCCTTAGAGAAGTGGATTGGTTGAGATGTCCAGTCTTTGACATTTTATGACCACAATATAAAGATTCTGTTCCATGTGAAATATAAGGAGCTAAATCTTTGTGTGTATGAGTAACGGAGAGAGATTAAGCTTCAGCATTCACAGTCTGTCCCTGAAGTATAGTGTGACTGAATTAATTACACAAAAAATCACTTTTAATATGGGCAGTGAGACTTAATGCTTTTCAGTCAAAAAGTAATTTTGCTGTTTATAACATTCTATGGATGGTTTGGTACTCTGTGATTCTACTACATACGCATATATACATACATACACATACATATACGTGATAACTTACGTATTTGTTATTGTCATCTGTGAATTTCAGAAATAAGACTTTTTGTAGAGAATGCTTCAGAATGCTTTTCTGAAATAGATAGTAAGATCTTTAAAAAGAGTTTGTTTCAAATTCAGTAATTTTCTGGGTTCTATTTCTGATGTGTTGAAATATTTCAAGCCTTATGAGGTACTTTGAAATAGTAATGTGGCCCACTTCCAAATTTTGGCTGCTAACTTACCTAAGGAAGATAAATGTTCAGTCTCAGAATATTTACTGAGCATCTACTTTATATCAGGCTCTGTTCTGAATACTGATAATACCCAGTGAATGTTGTTGGTCTGATTTTTTTCGAGTTCCACATGTAAATTACCTCTTAAAAGTGTGATTATGTATACAAATATTTCTTTGGTTGCCCTGTTCAGATTCAGTGGTATGAATTTTCTGATTTGGATATTTTGAACGTATAACATCACATCATGTTTAAAGAACTTGTAACTGAGCGGCTTATAAAATTAAACATTTTCATCCTCTAGGTATTATTAACCCAAAGAACCCAAAGGAAGCTCCGAAGTCCTTCAGCTTCGACTATTCCTACTGGTCTCACACCTCGGTGAGTGCAGT